AACACCCTCTGTGTTATAGTAAAACAAGAAAACTTATAGGTATATTCTTTTGATAGGAATGTTCCAATAGAACAGGTGTCGCTTAAATATTAGTATGCAAAGCTAAAACGAAGTTTGCAGAAATAAGCCCACTTTCCTGAAAACGAATAATCACTCGCATTACAATAGTGCCTAATCTAAAAACTGATCTATTGTGAATGATTTTTGGAAGAAAATGGAAAATTCTAGTCAGATGACAGAAGAGAAGAGTTTGTTTATTATTTATAACTGTTGCCAAATATTTTATTTTATAAATACTGTTGCCAATATTGAGTAAATTTAAATATTTAAATAAGTAATATTTTTATTTTATTGAGCCATATTGAGCCACAAATGTAAAAGCAGTCCTTTATTATGACTGTGAAACATGGAAGCATTCAAAATAGATAGAAAGAAAGATACAAACTTTTTTAAATATAATAAATGGTTGCAGTTAATCCTAGAAATATGGTGCCTAAACTACATATCAACAAATGCCGCACTTTTGCTCCAAACAAATCAGAAAGCTGCTGTAACCAAAATAAAAATGCGATAATGGAATTGGATAGGGCATACTATCCGACAACCAAATAAATACATTCCACGAAAATCTTTAACATGAAACCCTTAAGGCTGCAGATACCCTGGTGCACCGGATTTAACTTGGAGAAGGACAATTTAAAGAGAAATGACAGAAGCGCACTACACATGGGGAAACGGATACTAAGAAAGAAGAATATTTTTAATAAAATTAATGAAGATAATTAAAGTCATACGTTAATTATTTATCAAGGAATTTATAATTTCTGTATTATGATTATTAATGACGTTTTCGATTGGTAAATATGAGTTCAAAATAGATTTACTCTCGATCTGTCAAATTATGTTACCTAATCGAACATTTTTAGAGTAATCTAACATTTTTTTGTCGTGGTAGTAGACATTTATATTATTCACAAATACATAGGTATATCGAATCAAATCACATCTATCTACATCTTCATCTATCAAATCATCTAACACAAGTGTTAGTTTCAGGGTAATCTTGCTACTTTATAACACAATTGTAGCAAAAACAAAACAGTGTTAAATACGGCTGATTTAGCATTAACTAGTGATGTTAGAAGTTTGAAAATTTTATAATTGAATTTATTGACGATCACGTATTGCATTCTGAAGAGTTAGAACTATAAAAACTTTCAAATATTTGATGAATGTGCCGCTCTTTTTATATCCTTCTTATTTCACTTATTTCACTATATCCCTTATCACGGATAAAGCCTAATAAAAATTCATACTTTTATGTAAACATAAATACAATAAGAAATGCTCATAAACTTTTTTGTGTCATTCATTTTGAATATATATACCTTATGAATTTTTTTGTTTATAAAATTATCTGCAGTTATTATTGTATTTACATATAATTATCAACCACAAATTTGTTTAAAATTTTTTTACTTGTGAACTGAAAAATGTCTCATATCTTTTAATTGTCGACGTGTCTCTAACAAGGTTATTAGAATATCTGACATCAATATTTTAGTTTGGAGATTGGATGAAAATCGCCCAAGCATATCGGTTTCCAAATAAATGAATCCTAACTCTAGGATTGAATTCACAAACATTCGAAAGTTGATATTACAGAAACGTTATCACATATTAACTGATTTAAAGATCAAGAGAATTATTCTTAAAGTAGGAATACATATTAGAAATTAATTGATGAAAATATAAGTCGTGAATGTATGGATTTTAACTCCTGATTTATTACTTTAATTTACTTAATATATTTAGCAGAATTTTCTAGTTAGTAGATATAGACATTATCTATGTCATCTAGTCGCAATTTCATTTTATTTCCGTATTAGTAGACAGAAATTTTTTTCTAAAATTAAGTAGCATGTTTAATTGCACAACTTTGTAGTAATTCTTCATTTGTATATTTACTACAGAGAATGATATATTATTATTGATAGTTAATGCTATATATAATAAGGAAATGGATTCAACATATTCAACATGTAAAATCGTTGCAATTGAGATTGTTGCATCTATCACCTATATAAAATTATTACTTAACTATAACATCGACAGAAGGAAATATGGCTTCAAAAAAGCAAAGCCGTACTTGACTTGTATGCTCGAACTTGAAGTTTTGTTAATTTACTGTGAAAGTTCATTAATAAATTTACTTTCTATGGTTTATTAGTATAAAATCATAAATCAGCTGTTAAATAACTGAATTAATTAATTGCATTTATATTTTTAATTTTTAAGCTTCAATATTATTATTATTGTAGAGTCATTATTTCTTGTGCATAGATCCTTATTGGGGAACTTGGGCACTAAAAGCAAATTGTAATAATAATAATAATTTAAGAACATAATAAGCCAGAACCCCTAATGATTGGAAAGTAAGAATGTTTGTTGGTTCGTAACATTTCACAATTTTTGAAAATACTTCTTTTTTATGTAAATAAATATAGACTAATTATAACATTATAATTTATAACTTATAACATTTGTTTTCTTCTAATATAATTATATTTCATTTAATATTATTTTTGCTTTTAAATATTGTAAATATAAATATATAAATAAAATCCTCAGAATATATGTAAAACATATTACGTTTTCTCTTAGACGACTTTATCTCTTTTAGTAATCTTATGTTATAGACAAATATATTTTTAATTAGCTACATTGTTGGACATGCATTTAATTTAACATTAAAGCAATTCAAGACATTTTAATTAAATTAATTATTTTACTTTTTTTATATTTAAATTCAAAACTTATTAAGTTTGTATTCCGTAGTTTTGTAAAATTTTTAAAATATTTTTAATTTAAGCGATAATTAAAGCAGAGAGTTTGAGATACACACAGACGCACACACGCATACGAATAGAAGAATTGGCAAGGCAAACCCGTGTGGTAAAATGTCTGAAAGAATTTTTATTTTAGTCGTACTATAGCCAAAAATAATTAAAACCTAAATAGAAAAAAATATTAAAAATATTTTCGACAGATTAAAATTTGTTGAATATCTCGTGTTCCATGGTACGTAAATCTACATACGTAAGGGAGTGTGATACGGTGTTGGTTATAGACTAGACAGGCGCTACAAAATTGTTGGTAGCATTTACTGATAGATCTAATAGATCGAACAGACCCAATAGACCAAATACTCATATGCTGTTTGCAAACGTCAAAAGACACATATGATCAAAACTTTTCTTTATGAATATTTAGATGTGTTGTGAGTATTTTAAAGGCAAAGCCAATACGAACGAAAGACGGGGAGACGAGTGAATAATGAGTAAATTTCAATAATATTTCATTAATTAAAATGAACACAAAGCGTATAAGTACGAGTACACAAGTACGTTCTCTGTCTCGTTGGTGTGTTCACGTTCGTTTGTTTGCTTATTTACGTTGGCGTTTACGTTTTTTTTTGTCTAAATACGAATGCGAATGCTTACGCGTATTTTTAACGTAATTTTTTCATTTCATTGTTTTTATTTAATGACCAAGAAGATATAAAATAAAAGAGGCGATTTGCGAATCACGAATCACGTATCACGTCCGTATCTCTACATATTCATATTCTTTTTACTTTTTACTTTTAACTTTTTACTATACTAACGTGTGTAGCGTTTACTCGTATACTTGGTTCTGTAGTAAACAATTATTATAAAAACAAAACCGAAAAGAAATTTGTTTTTGCATTGCTGGTAATCATTATGAAGGGACACCGACGAAAACATGCGGAAAATGCGTAGCTCAAGTTTTATCGGTAAAAAGCAGATATGAAGAAAATTACTGGAAAATCTAATATTAAAATCGGAAATATACTATTAAAACGTAAAAAATAAAGAATTGTTGTTGTTGTTATTGGCGTTTTGCTAAATGATAAAATCAAATTAATTGTGATTTTGTGAACGAAACATGTTTAGAAGGAAATGACTGTTTAAAATTTTTATTAGGAAACATAAATATATTATAGCACTCAATAAGTCGTACCAATGACACACAGATGGCGCTGCCATTGTCAAATCTATATGAAGTTTATGAAGTACAAGTACCAACCTTCAAAAGACTATGTGTAAAATTTCATGACATTTCGATTAGTCAGGAAAAGTGACAGCCATTTAAGTGAAGCTACTTTTGTTATTTTCTAAACAATGGATTCAAAACAATTTCGTGTGTTAATTTATTATTGCTTCTTGATGAAAAAAAAATATTGTACAAGCTCAGCAATGACTTCAAAAGTGTTATCCGAACTCTGCTCCATCGAAAAGAACCATTTGTTATTGGTTTGCTGAATTTAAACGTGGTCGTACAGACACCGATGATGGTGAACGTTCTGGTCGTCCAATTGAGATGGTCACTCCAGAAAACATCAAAAAAGTCCAGAAATTGGTTGTATCTGATCGTTAATTGAAATTGCTTTAGATAGCCGAGAACGTAAAGATATCAGAAGGCAGTGTGTTTACAATTATGCATGAAGATTTGACCATGAGAAAGCTCTTTTCAAAGTGAGTGCCGCGTTTACTCACAGTCGATCAAAAACAACAACGTGTTGATGCTTCAGAGCAGTGTTTGGCAATGTTTACACGTAATAAATCAGATTTTTTGCGTCTATATGTGACAATGGATGATACATGGATCCAACACTTAATTCCGGATTCAAAACGAGCATCATCTGAGTGGACTGCAGCCGGTGAACCACTCCGAAGCGTTCAAAGGCACAACAGTTGTCTGGGAAGGTTATTGCTTCAGTATTTTGGGATGCACATAGTATAATCTTTATTGACTATCTCGAAAAGGGAAAAACCATCAATAGTAACTGCTACACGGCATTACTGGATATTTTGAAAGCAGAAATTGGGAAAAAACGACCGCATATGGCGAAGAAAAATATTTTGTTTCACCAAGACAACGCACCGTGTCACAAGTTAATAAAAACTATGGTAAACTTGCACGAATTACACTTCGAATTACTTCCTCATTCACCGTATAGTCCAGATCTGGTCCCCAGCGACTACTGGCTATTCGCTGATCTCAAAAAAATGCTCGCCGATAAGAAATTCATCTCAAATAAAGAAACAAATCCTTCTACAAGGACGGCATCGAGAAGTTAGAGAAGAAGAGATTATATTGATGAGTAAAATCGATTTTTGACTGAAAAAAAAAATTTTATTTAGTTCTTCTTAGTTAGTTAGACGACTTATTGAGTGATGTGTTAATTAATAAATATGTTGTTAAAGAAACAAATAATTAAATTTGAATTTTTAAAATGTAACTGCATCATTACATACATATATATTTAATAAGTTTTTACCGAAACCAGATGAAAGTTTTTTTTTTTATTACTTTTTTACAGATTTTTTTGATCTGCTAATATTTAATGTAATAATTTTTTCCATATATAGGGTAACATAATTAAAATGCCAACAACTTCAAATTGCTGTATTTTATGAGGTGGTGAATACTGCGTCTATATTTCGGGTAATAATAGATAAAAATATTTTCTACACGTAACTGCAGCAAAAGTGATACAAAAGGTTACGACTCGATCTAACTAAACATATTGGAAAGAGCCACTTAATAATAATCTACTTAAGAATAAGCTTATTAAAATTTTAAATTTCAATATAACTAAGTTGGATAAAGTAAAGGAACAGTTGGGTTTGTACGAACGTAGTTAATTGGCAAATATCGTTTTCCCTAATGAGAAAAATTCGTTAACATACAGAATTACCGACTTTACTTAACAGTGAGGTCGCACGAAAATTTTGTCATTGTAATGGCTACAAGATCTAAAACACGGCTGTCCAAAGTACGGCTCGCGGGTAATGTTTGTGCGGCCCGCTCAACTAACGAAAATTTTCTTTTGATGTACTGGTAAAACTACATTATTTTCTTTTTATGGTATACCATATAAATGTATTTAAATTGATAAATCAAAAAAAACTAAATTTAACATTACTGTATTTTTATTTTTAGTCTGAAACAACTATGAACGTATGTATTTCATTCTGCGACCTTCCAATCTGTACAGTCATTTGTATTGGCCCGCGATGGCGTTTGGTCTGAAGAGCCCTGATCTAAACTATCAAATCACTATTTTTAATAGTTTATAGAGCCCTGTTAATTAATTATCACTCCTGTCCGAGTTTTTTAGTGCTTGAAGCTAAAGGTGATACTGATAGCTATCAGGAAAAAGTTTTGAAAAGTGTTTTAGTGCCGTTAACAAGCAATATTTCAGTGAGACAGAATGTAAGTTGTATACAATGAATTTTATTTTTTACAACGAACTAATCAGATTACCAAAAAGAAAAAAAAACAAACTGGTTTGAAATAAAACGAAGAAATGATAAACACTAAAACACATTTCATCATGTCGCTTTTAAACTAATGCCACGTCAAAAAATCCTATCGGAGAGACCATTTTTCATAGTAGAAAGAATTAAAATTTAATTTGTTCTTTAGCGATGTACATAGGTATATTATGTCTATTAACTATTTTATTGATTATCTTAAAGGAATTAATGTACTGGATGTTGAAGCATACACATATTTATATTTATAATATTTAGATCATTATAATACAAATAACATATAACAATACATAAAAAATTTTCACAAATCCTAACGTTATATATGGTATATCTAAAAATAAGCACTTTTGCATATTTTTTGAATAAAATATGTTACAATTGGAATATGTTTTACATTGTAATCTGTTAAAATTAAGTATGTACATATTTATTAATGTAAATATTGCGTATATAACAATAAAACTTTGAATAATAAAACTCTATTGCTGTTCACCTTTTTAGATATAAGTATACATAGATGAAAGTATCTACATTGGTTTTGAATAAATATCTGTAATCGTGGAACAAAAACAAAATAACATGCTTCACCCACTCGCTGCTTTCAATTTCAATTTCCGTGGAATTTGTTTTTGTTGTTTTTTTGTTGTGTAGCTTTTTAGCATATCTTAATTTGTTTAAATAATTAATTTATTTGTTTGTTGTGACGTTTTGTGAGTAATATTTTTGAAAACAACAAAAACGTATGTTCAACTTCATATATAAAAAAATGTATATAGTGAGACGTTTATTTAAATTATATATATATTTGCAAGTTATAATTTTTAAATTGGTCTTTTATAGATACATATTAGCAATATTGAAAATTTAACACAAAAAATCTACAACGGCTAATACAAATCATTGTTAAACATTATTATTTAATTCTTAAGATTTTTTTTCACAATATTTTAATGAATAGAAATTGCTTATCATAATTACTCAGTCGTGCCCGTTGGAATACAAATTTTATAGATATGATAAAAATACTCCGAGCTAAAGTAAATAAAGCAATATACAGTGGTCGTCCAGTATAACGAACGCTCGATATTACGAATTTTCGATATAACGAACACCCAAAATATTTACATTGATTGTTCTATATAACGAACGAAAAAAAAAATTCTGCTCCATATTACGAACAAAAAATTTTTTGTTTCTTATTCGTTTTTGTTTTATACAAATTATGCTTTTGAATATAATTTTACTATAAAACTAGCATTATTCAGCTTAGAATATGCATGTAATTGTCCGTTTTTTTTTTTTTCTGAGAAAAATGCCTATATATGGCAAAATGCATATATGCAGGCGCCACTGATCTGTTGTTCACAAATTCAGTTTATCATATACGAAATACTATCCAGACATACATATGTACATATTAAGGTGTTTATATTTAATATGTATTTGTTTGAAAATATCATTTAAAAATTAATTTTGACAAAGCCGGAAGTTTAAATCGTTGTGAATTAAATTTTAGTTTTTAAAAAGCTGTTCAGAAAAGTCTTGAGTGTAGTAAAAAACAAACAAAAATTAATGATTTTTTTTACTCTACACTATGATTGAATGCGTCCTTTCTTATAAATAATTTTGTAACAACCGAATAAAAAATACTTTCAAATAAATATATACTCGTACGTGTTTATAAGTTAATTTATGAACTCAAATATATGAAATCTCCTAAAAATAACCATATTGGTAGGTAAATGTATAACATTCGATATTACGAATTTTTCGATATAACGAACAAGGGGTGCAACATAAAATTCGTTATATTGGACGTCCACTGTACTCATATAAACTGTGAAAGTTATTATATTATTAGATTATTTTTAGGAATTTTAAACGGATGTGATAATCAGTATACATACATATGTATTTCCAATAAGGGAGATTATTATCAATTTTAGGTTTGTAAATATAAAAATTATTTAAGAGTTAGGATTAGTAAGCATGCAGTACAATTATTTAAGATGCCTATATATATTCTACTTTTGACCACTCTATTTAAGTATTTACATATTGCAGATATATATATATATATAAAGGCGAATTAAATATCTTGCATTAAACTTAACTTTTCTTGCTACTGTTTGCTGACGATACTGTTGCCTTAAAAATATTCTTTAACAAAATAGGAAAAGAATTTTAAAAGGTATACATATTTAGGAAAAAATTTATTAAGCACATCATATAGTAAATATGCAGCTGAGGCGATAATCAAATAAAGTATATCCTACACCATTTTCCTCCTACTTGCTACTACTGCAGCTGCTGCTATCTGATCGATCTGCTGATTTTTATGAGACGTTTTAGAGACTGATGTTTACAAAAGTGTTGAGATAAATCAAAAAGGCGTTTTTTGGAAAAATGTGCAATTCTTTTTAAAAATAATTTTTGACAAAATAGTTGATGGTTACTTATGTTATTGTTGGGTTTTTTCGAATTTAGTTTACTAACTATCTCAATTCTTTTACTGTAAAAATTTGATTGGGAGCTTTTCGTCCTTTTTTTTAACACGATTTTTATGTACGAAGTGTTCAATTATGTGCTGAACTGTTGAAGAGCTTATATTTACCATTTTAGTTATATTATTTTGGGAAATTCCATTTTTTAGATGTTCGAATGGCAAATCTTGCTTTTCAAATGATGTACGCTGTTCCATGGTTAATATAAAATGCATGCACTTTAATTTTTTTAGTATTTTCCCTCAAAAATATAATTACAAATGATCGCAAAATAAGAATATTTTTATTTCCGTCTGATATCACGACGATATTAACGGTACTGTTAACTGCATCATTTAAGCTGTGACATGAATTTTTCATTTGTTTTTTGTTTTCGTTGCATTACTAAGGAATGGAAAAAGATTTTTTGGTCTTTGTTCTTGTAAATGAATTAAAACACTATAAACAATAACTCTGTATACTTTGTTTTTTTAATTTTGCAAAATATTTTGAAAAAAATAAAACTTTTTAAAAAATTTTGGTCTGTATCAAATAAACTGTGAGCTACTGTATATACTTATAATACTTATATACTATAATAATATTTATACTT